GATTGGGAAGTGTGGCAAAGTGGCAGCTGCCACTGCTGGTCTCTCTCTGCCCTGATTGTTAGTAAGCCAGCACACAGCAACTCCCACGAGTAGAGTCTAGGCTTTTCCAGCCCCTCTGTCTGTCCCAATGGATTTCCTAGCAGGCAAGGGGACTCCCCAGAGGGAGAGTCTGCCCATCTGGACTTTCTCTCCTTTAAAGATCCTTCCTAGCAGTGCTGATTCCATCCTGATTATTTTCCCTGCCCCCCATTACTACCTAGTTACATGGAGATCTTTCTTACAGCTGTGGTTGTATAGGAGATCTACCAGATTCCAGTTGATTTTCTATAAGAATAATTCCCATGTAGATGATTTTTGGGTTTTTTGTTTTTGTTTTTTAATATGTATTTTTATTGAAGTATAGTCAGCCTGCAATGTTGTGTCAACTTCTGGTGTACAGCATAATGTTTCAGTTATACATGAACATACATATATTTGTTTTCATATTCTTTTTCACCATAAGTTACTACAAGATATTCAATAAAGTTCCTTGTGCTATACAGTGTAAACTTGTTGTTTATCTATTATATATATATTAGTATCTGCAAATCTTGAACTCCCAATTTATCCCTTCCCATCCCCTTCCCTCCCTGGTAACCATAAGTTTGTTTTCTATGTCTGTGAGTCTGTTTCTGTTTTGTAAATAAGTTCATTTGTCTTTTTTTTTTTTAAAGATTCTACGTATACGTGATATCATATGGAATTTTTCTTTCTCTTTCTGGCTTACTTCACTTAGAATGACATTCTCTCGGTCTGCCCATTTTGCTGCAAATGGCATTATTTTATTAATTTTTATGGTTGAGTAGCATCCTATTGTATAAATATACCACAGCTTCTTTATCCAGTCACCTGTTGATGGATGCTTAGGTTGTTTCCATGTCTTGGCTATTGTAAATAGTGCTGCTATGAACATTGGGGTGCATGTGTCTTTTTGAATTAAGGTTCCCTCTGGATATATGCCCAGGAATGGAATTGCTGGATCATATGGTAATTCCATTTTTAGTCTTTTGAGGACTCATCATACTGTTTTCCACAATGGCTGCACCAAACTGCATTCCCACCGACAGTGTAGGAGGGTTACCTTTTCTCCACACCCTCTCCAGCATTTATGATCTGTAGATTTTTTAATAATGGCCATTGTGACTGGTGTGAGGTGGTATCTCATTGTAGTTTTGATTTGAATTTCTCTGATAATTAGTGATACTGAGCATTTTTTTCCTGTGCCTGTTGACCATTTGTATGTCTTCATTGGAGAATTGCTTGTTTAGGTCTTCTGCCCATTTTTGGATTGAGTTGTCTGTGTTTTTTTCTTATTAACTTGTATGAGCTGTTTATATATTCTGGAAATTAAGCCCTTGTAAGTCTTGTCATTTGCAAATATTTTCTCCCATTCCATAGGTTGTCTTTTTGTTTTGTTTACGGTTTCCTTTGCTGTGAAAAAGCTTATAAGTTTAATGAAGTCCCATTTGTTTATTTTTTGCTTTTACTTCTATTGCCTGGGTAGAGTGCCCTAGGAGAACATTGCTGAGATTTATGTCAGAGAATGTTTTGCCTATGTTTTCTTCTAAGAGATTTATAGTGTCTTGTCTTGTGTTTAAGTGTTTAAGCCATTTTGAGTTTATTTTTGTGTATGGTGTAAGGGAGTGTTCTAACTTCATTGATTTTACATGCAGCTGTCCAGTTTTCCCAGCACCATTTGCTGAAGAGACTGTCTTTTCTCCATTGTATGTTCTTGCCTCCTTTGTCAAAGATTAATTGACCAAAAGTTTGTGGGTTTATTCTGGGCTCTCTATTCTGATCCATTGATCCATATGTCTGTTTTTGTACCAATACCATGCTGTTTTTAATACCATAGCACTGTAGTATTGTCTGAAGTCTGGGAGGGTTATTCATCCAGCTTTGTTCTTCTTCAGTATTACTTTGGCAATTCTGGGTCTTTTGTGATTCCATGTAAATTTTAGGATTGTTTGTTCTAATTCTGTAAAAAAAAATGTCCTGGATAAATGTGTAGATGGCTTTGGGTAGTATAGCCATTTAAACAATATTAATTCTTCCAACCCAAGAACATGGGATATCTTTCCATTTCTTTGTCAGGTATAGGTGATTTTTGATTTGTTTGTGGGAGGAGGTGAGCTCCACATCCTGCTACTCTGTCGTCTTGATCCCACTTCCACTGTACTCCACTCTGGTCTTCTTTCTATTGGCTGAACTAATCAAACCCTTTCCCTTCTTTTCTTTGCCATTTCTCTTCCTTCTGTCTGCTGTGCTCTTCCTCTGGCTCTTCACATGACTTGCTCCTTTCTATCTTTCCAGATAACCACCTCAGAGTGACCGTCCCTGACAATCTAAAATAGACCCAACTCCATTTTTCTCTGTCATGGCACCCTATTTGTTTTCTTCCTCCAACTTATCTCATGTGTCAGTGTATGTGCATATGTGGGTGTCATTTGTATGTGTTTCTATCTCTCCCATCAGACTATAAGTTTCTTGAATGTAGGGGTAATGGCCATTTAGTGCCCACCCAATAAAAATGTTTTGAATAAACAAATGGGTGGAGAAGGACTTGGGGATATAGGTATCATGAGGTTTTGAAGAGACTAAAACTGTGAATGTTTTTGGTTCCAGATCTTCACACCAAGGACTGTCAGGGTTAGGCACAAACTTCAAACTTTCAGGATAGGGTCAGAACTAGAGATTATTGTGGACATGGTGCATGATGTGGAGGCCAGAGCAGTAATTGTATCTATACTAGGTGTAGAAATGACTGAAATAACAAATTCAAGTATAGTATGAAGCTGCCCTGATAACCAGTGTCCCGGAGACACAGAACTTTCTTTCATCAGAGGCAGAACATGATTTAAAGGGAAGAAATAAATTCTTTGGAATCAGACAAACCTGGGTTTGAGTACTAGCTCAGTCACTGACAAGCTAGGTGACTTTGGACAATTTATTTAACCTATCTAAGCATCAGTTTTCTTATCAGTAAAATGGATATGATAATACAACTATTGCATGGGTTTATTATAAGAACTAATGAGTTAAAATGTACAGAATATAACACATAATACAAACCAGGAATGAACAAGAGGAAGAAGAATAAAAAGGAACAGAAGAAAAAGAAGAAATGAACTCTCACAAGTTTATACAGTCCTAAGATTCTCTTTGTATCATTGTCTTGGCCTGGGATTTCAGGAAGGTGATTGTGATTACCCAGGCATGATGGCATGGGTTACAATCTTAAGGCTATGATCATAGCTCCATGACCATACCAAAAACCAGTCAATTAATCAAGAAAAAAGAGAATCATTCAAGCCGAACCATGGGCCAGCAGTGGTTTACTAACCCAGCAATTCCGTGCCATTCGTGTCCATCTGGGTCACTGTAGAGTAACTCCTCCTTGTACTTTGAGGTGGAGATGTATTGATATAGCACAGAGTCACAGATGGTGAGGGAGCTAGGAAAGGCTTCAATATGGCTTCCTTCAAAGGATGCCACAAATGTAATACAATACAAAAAGAAGTCACTTACCTCCTGAATGAGGACATAAATTCTGAGAAGTAATCATGCCACTAGTTGTTCTTGATGCACAAAATAGAAGCAGCAGTGAATTATCAATCTTAAAATTAGGAATATTTTCTATGAATATTTGTAGTTCATTATTGACTTTTGAGGCTCATTATACAAGAACTAAAACATGGAATTTTATGATTACTTTGTATAATTATGTATAGACAGAGAGAGCCAAACTCCCTTTAAAGTCAGTGGGAGATATGCATAAAGAATGAGCACTAAAATTGGCCCCATGCATTTTTCAATTTTGCTGGATGTAGAATTCAGTATTTTAAAATGACAAAAGACTCATCTTATTTTTGAACTGACTATAAAGCACAATAACAATAATTTATTTACATAGCTGTGCTCTGGGAGCTCATAGCATTTTGCGGATGTTATCTTAGTTATTTTTATAATGGAAGGGGTAAGAGGTTTTAATCCCTGCTTTTTTCCATCTATGGAAACTGAGTCACAAATTGGCCAAGTCATTTACTTGTAATAGCACAATAGGTTGTTGATATATTTGTCTTTTAAAATGAGATTAATAATAATGCCTGCCCTATCTCATAGTGTTGCTATAAGGACATGTATAGGACACTTCCTGTGTGATTTCAAACCATCTTGATCTCACCTCCTACCCCGGGCACTACTGCATTGTTGATTTCCTTGAAGACTTCCAACCTGACACTGCCTCACATTGGATCCCTGCCACTGTCTATTGCTCCCTACTCTGTGGTTTTGAGGATATTTTATGGTTGGATTTTCTTGAGACCACTCTTGACCAATGGAAGCCAGAGTTTATGAACAAATGCTTTCCACATTTTCCCCTGAGATGGTAGTTCTGAGACAGACTCTTTTAGTTTTCTCAGCTTTGCAACCATCCCTGGAGATACCCAACTCAAGACTGTATTGTCTTTTTTTTCTTTCATCTTTCACTTCCCCATGTCTCTCCTTGCAATTTCTTCTCTAATATCTGCAGCCAGGCCTTTCCCTCAGGCTCTGCTTTAAGGATAACTAAAGGCAAAGAGAATGACATGAAATGATAACATATATGAGAGAACTTGACAACCCCAAAATGCTATGTAATAAAAGTTGTTAGTATGACTTATATAATAATAGTATTTGTACCAATTATAGCCATTATAATTAATGTCAACTTGAAGCTATTGAAACATTGAAACAGAAATTCTCACGTCTTTCTGAAACCCTGGAATCACCATAAATCAGCAGCATTCCTTTCTCTGGAGGAACACAAAGACTTCCCAAGGGATATGCAGGCAAAAAAAAAAAAGAATGAAGAGAACCAATTTCCAGCATCATCTCAAATTCCCTATGTATAATTCCCAAAATTGATGTGCCTGCAATTAAGGTATCCCACCAAGGTTGACCTTTCCCACTTGTCCTTTCAGAATTGTCCTCCAGCTACACAAAAGAAAGGCAGAACGCACATCCTGAATCTTGCTGTGATATAACCCATCTTCTAATTACTGTTTAAAAAACAATAGCAACGTTCCTGAGAAAGAGTCCTGTGAAAGAAAAGCCAAGAGCACTGGTAAGAAATAACTTTTGTGAACCTCTCACTTCTTAATGGTCCTATAGCTTTTCTCCCATGTGTTGTTAATTTTTACACATAGATTAAAAATGCCCGTATAAAAGCAGAACATCTACTTATGTACAAATGGAGGACAAAATGTTTCTAAAATGCTTCTGAAATGTGGTGCCCAGAACTTTAGGAAGACAGTTTCATTTAATTAGGGGAAAAAAATCTTTCTCCTCAGCTGATATGTTTATCTAATTCTATCAAATGAATAATTATAAACAATAATTTTCAACAATAAAATTAAATTACTAATCTATATATAAAATTCTCAAGTGTCTTTCTACCGTAAGTTTTAAGGCACTTTTAGGAGATTTAGATTAGAAAGCGGAAATATAGCATGCAAAATATGTATTTATATGTGTTTATGTGTTTGTAGCCCATGAGACAAATCTTAAAATGCATAACTTCCAATTTTTTAATTTGTTTTTAATGTCTCATTTTTAAATAATTTTAAATGTTTCCCTTTGCAATTCATGCATATCTTGGGGGAGATACTTTGAGACTATGCAAATATCTAGGTCCTCCTTAAACTTTTGCCCACAATTTTTAGCATCCATTGGTGGATCTTGTCTGCTATAATTATTACTGTGATGTTCTAATGGTGATTTTCCATTTCCCTCATTCCTTCTATATTTACTACCTGGAATTCTTTTGTAAGGAATAGCCATCCCTCCATTTGTTTATTTGTTTATTTAAATTTATATTATATCAATATGGACTCATGGCTGTTTCTTGTATTCGATGGACTATAATCCTATACTGTTATTTATTTTGTTCCTCAAATTCAAGCTTTGACCATTGGGGTTTTCAATAATTGGGAAAGAAATGCCTTTGCAAGTCATATGGTTTAAATTATTTACTTTCAATAAAATTGAAGGGCTAGTCAAATTACCAGCTGATTGATCGTTTAAAAGAATGTCGATGATAGAACACTAAATTTTTTTCCCGTGCAATACAGAAAAAATTTTCATTCTCATATGCCTGTCCTGTATCCCAGGAGTTCTAGTCCTCTGTATCCAAGAGAAATGAGCACATATGTTTACCCAAAGACTTGTAGCAATTTTCATAGCTGTTTTATTCATAAGAGCCAAAACGTAGAAACAATTCAAATATCCATGAATAATAGAATGGATAATAAAGTTGTAGCCTATTCATAAGATGGAATATAACACAGTACTTTTTTCAAAGAACAAACTGCTGATATACCCCAAAACATTGATGAATGTCAAACACATTATGTTAAGTGAAAGAAGTCACACAAAGGAGTAAACACTGGATGAGTCCATTCATATGAAATTCAAGAACATGTTAAATTCAATTTAGGGTGATAGAAGTGAGAGCCGTCTTGAGGGCAGTATTGTTTGGGAAAGGGCACAAGGGAAGCTTCTGCTGTGCTGTAAATGTCCTCGATCTTGATCAGGGTGATGATGGTTACATGAGTGCACACATTTGTCAAAACTCATCTTAGGATCTGTCTACCTTTTTGGTGTATAAATTATACCTCAATAAAGTAATAGAGTGTGAAAAATACCAACTGAGAAAAATGTTTAACATGTATAGGATATAAAGGACATATATGCAGGACATATAAATGGTTCCTGCACACACAAAAAAAAGTGTCCAGTGAAAAAGTGAGTAAAAGATAGAAATAGGCCAGTCACCCTAAAGGAATTGTATATCATCGAAATGCCTATGAAAAAAATCCACTGGTAATCAGAGATATGCCAAATGAAACACAGAACTCTGCAACCTCTTTCTAACCCCAAACTGGTAACTTTGTTGGGAGGATAATGGAGGAGTATAAAGTGTCTCCCCCTCCCTCCCCCCTCTCCCCCCCTCCCCTCCTCCTCCCTACCTCCCCCCTCTCCCCCTCCCCCTCTCTCTGAGACTGATTACAATGTTATAAGTAATACTTAAAGTAATAAATGCTTATTTGTACCTATAATGAGCACTATAACAAGTAATAATAGAATAGATAATGAAATTATCTTGATCTAAGCATCAGTCATTAAGAGCTAGAATTGAGTCACAGTTCTTGAATCCATACAAGACACAAGACAGTCTGAGTTTTCTAAATCCAAACCTCTTATTGGGCCTTTGACAGCGGTGTGGCCTCCACATGTACGTTACACACTTCGGCGGAAGGTGTCTGCGCTGGCGGGGAGAGCAGGAAGACCGCACGGGGACACTCCAGCCTTCCTGGTGCGAGCTGCGTGGTACAAGGTAAAGCAGAAATCCAACCTGGCTGGTCCCTGAGCCGATATATTTTGTTTGGCTTTTGTGGTGTGCTAGTTTTAATTGAGGCCAGCATTTAAAAAGTCAACAATTAAGTACGAAAATGATTTACATCTAGCTAAATCAGCTGGAGCTCTGTAGCAGCTGACCCACCCAGAGGCTGGGTGTCAGGTTTCCTGATGTCAGACCCACGTTACTCATTTATGTTATGCATCTTGTCCCTATAGGTAATTGAGTTTGTGATCTGATGTAAAATGCCAGGGGGAAAAGACAACAGCCTCTAAATTTTAAACACTACCGTTTACTAATAATGTACATGAGAGAGAGAGTGTGTGTGTGTGTGTGTGTGTGTGCGCGCGCGCGTGTGTTTGTCAGAGAGAGAGAAAGAATAAAGTCCTCAGATGGACTGCTTTACTTAGTTCTTTAGTACCTTGAAGTTACAAATGTCCTTCTATACAACTTTACAATGAATAAATATGCAGAACTATCTTTAGAAAATTTAGCAAGCTGCAAGAGCTCCCTTTCCAATTAATTGTTACCCTGTGGTATTAGTGGGCAGGAATGTATTGCGACATGGAGTTTTGGACAAGGTTGTATGTAACATAGGGGAGCTGTGGATGCTTCTGACAGGGGGGCAGTGAGTGCATCTTTTTTCAAAAGGGCATGGGTTTTACTCTTGGGACTCACTCTCAAAGGGTTTCGTCCCTTTCTTGACCCAGTTAAAGGTGGCTCACCTCCTCTGGCAGCAGTGTGGCTGACTAGCTCCCTTCTTAAATGTAGAGCAAAGGTTCAGTAGTTCGGTGCCCCCGAAGTTCATAGAAGGCATGTTAAAACCAAGACAGCTGTCCCCACCCTCCAGAGTTTATATTCAGTAGGTCTGGGGTGGAGCCCAAGAATTTGTATTTCTAACAAGTTCCCAGGCCTTGCTGACACAGCTGGTCAGGGAGCCACACTTTGAGAATCTGTGATAAAATCTTCAACCTCTGGTAAAGTGGGCTAATTCATGGGAGTCTGTATTAATGATTTATGCTCAGGAGGGTTAGACATAAATAATAACCCAATATATTTAATTGCATATTCTTAATACATGCTTCCTGTTACTAATTACTCTGATTTTTTTTCCTGCAAACAGCTCAGGAAAAGGAAATATTTAATTGTGGGGCTTTTTTTGGAGGCATAAAAGCAATCAGTGAGAACTGATTCAATTGAACCTGAGATCTAAGTCGTTCATTTTCCCCTGGGGAGTCCCTCCAGTCGGCAGTCACAAACATACTCTGCCCTGTGGTTTTGTTGCTGAAGCTTGAGGTTCCCGTGATAGATCAAGGAGAGCTGGGCTGGCATGGCATTGAAAGAGACCACTGTGAAACAGCAAGACCAGGCAAGCTTTAAAACTAGAATGGGCTCGCTGGGGAAGTGACAAAAGGGATTCTTTCTCTCCTTGATGGATTTAAAGGTAGAATCCTGATTCTCCTGAGAACTGTTCAAAAGCCCCTCCCCTAAGGCATGCCGGCTCTTCCCCGTCTGTCTCTGTCTTCTGTCTTTACTGCAGCCAACCATTCCGAGGTAGTCAATGCATATCTTTCGTTTGTGTGTGTTTATGCAGAATCTGCATGGGTTTTTAATTTACATAAATGTTGTTCTAAACATTACTGCTGCATTTCCCACTCAACTCTAATATTTTATGATTCATCTGTGCTGACAGGGTGCCCCTCTAACTTCAGCAGGCATCAAAATCACCAGGGAAAGTTATTAAGATAGAGACTCCCAGGTTCCAGTCCAAGAGATTCTTGTTCAGAAGGTCTTAGGCGATGCCCCAGAATCTGTATTTAAACAAATTTACTGGGGTATAATTTATATACCATAAAATTCACCTGTTTTATGTATACAATTTAAGGGTTTTTTGTAAATTCGTAGAGTTGTATAACCACACCACACAATCCCGTTGGAAACGTACATTTTAATAAGCTCCCCAGGGGCTTCCGAGGCAGCAGGTCCTCAGACTGCATTTTCAGCATTGTCGAGATTGAGAGTATGACTTGGGGGGACTCCACCAGAGCTGTCATTTCTTGCTAGACCTTTTCATGGCCCCCACCCCTCTCACACTCTTAGCCCTCTCACTCCTCATGGCCCTTCATGCCTTCCTTTTATATGATGTGAGCTGTGTTCATGGCCCCCACCCCTCTCGCTTTTCCTTGCTCTTGCTCCTCTCACACACATACTGATATTTCCCTGTTAGATGAGTCCATCTGAAATGTATATGCTAACATAAGTTGTTGTCTGTTCTCTCATTCATGTGGTTCTTAGACCTTGCTTTAAGAAATATTCTTTAAAACTATGCAGAGGGAGATTAGATGAAGATCATAGGAGCTTCATGCCACAACAAGGCAGATCAATCAGCCAAGAGAAATGACGTTGCTTGGCTGGGGAAGAAGGTGCTTCTTTATGTGAGGTAAATAAGGTTGACCCCCCCAAAAAACCTTGACCAGAATTGTTCCTAAGCAGGAGGCCAGCCATGGGTCTCACCTAGCCACCTTCAGGGATGGTGGGATCAATAGTTAGGATCTTGTGACTTCATATGTAAAGTGCTGCTTGTCAAGACAGAAGCCACAGCACCTCAAGTTCTGTCTGGAGCCTAAATAGGGAACAAAAACCAAATATCACTGCTTCTGGCATTGAAGTAGATCATGGAGATGAACATCATTCATAAGTACATCAGGCTCTGCGTCTCCATGCAGGACCCAAAGTTCTACATGACTATAAAATGCAACCTAATAAACCACTGAAAATTATCTAGAGTTTTCCACTCAAGTAAAAATATTTATTGAACAAATATCATGCCCCAGGCACATTTGTTTCTGGGTCACTGATGCACATAATTAAATTCACCAGTGAAGATGGCAAAGTATACAGATATGCTGCCCTTGGTCCTTGCCTCATGGACTGCTTAGAAGAAAGAGTTTTTTAGGGGGTAAATAGAATACTAGAGCAGAGTTCTTGGGCTCACACTCCAAGTTCAATCTGAAAATTCCTTTCCTTTCCTTTCCTTTATTTTTTAGATATTAGTGTTTACCTTCTTTCCTTGCCCCGTTCATTTCTTTGATAATATTAGGGTTTCATGCAAGCTTTCCTTTGAAGAAAGGGTTCCACTATTTTAAAAAAATTGTAAAACCTTCTAAGTAAATTATGTCACTTACTTGCTAAGAGCTGTCTTTGTGTAAGGTGCTGTGTTGGGTGTAAGGTGCTGGGGGGGCACACAGATACAGAAGATGCCCCTTATCTTTCTTGCTTACCATTGTAGCCCCAGTACCTAGCACAGAGTTTGGCTCAAAAAATGTTTATTGAACAAATGATGGAACAAATGAATGAATAACACTAATTACACTGTATTGTAATAATTTATTTACCTGTTTGTTTTCCCAATTAACCTGTGAGCTCATGGACAGCAGAAACCATGTTTTATTTATTGCAGTATCAATGGGAACTCCCACATGACCCAGTGTATTGAGGGCACTTACTAATGGTGGAATGAATGGATGAATGCAAAGCAGGTGTAAAACCTTGCCCATGGCAACAAAACTAAGTATAGTTGATCCAGAAACAGAACTGACAATTACTGTTTTCTGATTTCATACTTACTGTACAAAGCCATAAGACCCCCTCTACGAAGAATGAGACATTTTGGGTATTTGGGGACTGGCCAGAGTGGTGAGCAGCAGCCAGAGGACAATACCACTGTGATCTCATCTTTGCCTGTCTTGCCTCTTTGGCAAGTTTGATTGCCAGGTCTGCAGAGGAATATGCTGGGCTGCTGTTTCCTACTTAACAAGCAGTCAGATGAGCTGGGTTGTAGCTGGAATCTGAAAGGGACACTGGAAAGGCCTTATGCCTTCTCTCCAAATGCAAATACCGCTGGAAGGGTGAAGTCTCAAATCACCATTTCTCCACTCACAGTGAATAACTTAGATAATCAGGTACCTTTAACCTGTTATCTGGTTTAACTTGCTCTCATTGGAGACCCAAGCTTGCTTGAGAGGACATTGTGGATTGTCACTTGTTGCAGAGGTAGGTAGGTAAACATAGGGCAATGGACAACATGAGCAGAGTAGGGGTCCAGAGGCACTGGCTTCAGCAGAGGTTAGCATGAAAGGCACCAGTCCTGAATCCAAGCTCCTCTTACTTCACATTTTCCCAAGAGTCTACTTGGACTCAGTCTATATGCCAGCATACCAACTTTGTCATCCAATCTTGGACAGCCCTTGATGGGAGCTACCATAATACAAGACATGGCTCTATTCACCCTACACTTTCTCATCATTTTAAACTACAGAGGATTTTCCCACTGTTTCCGGGTTTGTATGAACCTTGTGTCTAGCTCAGGATCAATGTGCAAAGCATTGTACATAGCTCACTCTGGTAACTTTATGTTTATTATTGGACAAATTAGAGTTGAACATGTCTTAAGTACTAATAGGGACAGCAAAACGGTACAACTGGGAAAAGCACAAGACTAGAAAACAAGAATCTGAGTTCTGCCATTTATTGGCTCCAGGAAAAAGAACCCCTTTTTGCCTCAGTTTTCTCATCTATTAAAAGGACATAATAGTACTCACTGTACCCACCTTATAAAGCTGTTTTAAATGTTAGTAGAGATAATGGATGACAAAGTCTACTGAAAATTAAAATGAGATATAAAAATGCAAGGTATTTCTCTTTAAAATAATGGGCTCGATAGGATGACCATATAATTTACTCTCTAAATCAGGAAGGGAAATAATTAACTGTTATTAGTCTACAACAGGCATAAAATGGAACTGTCCTAGGCAAGTCCGGATATTCTGTAAATCCCCCTTACATTGACTTTTATTCCATTCTGTGCATCCTTCCCAGCTCTTCCCTTGGCTCCTCTCCCACCTCTTTGTTCTAAAATGCTCTGCTTTATCTCTAAGTGCAGGCATCCTGTTTAGGGAGAGCAAGAAAATGTATGAGTA